TAGTATGTGCGAGACAGTCGCGTACATGGCCAGAGAATACAGATCCTGTAGTACGGTTCGACATTCGAATGTTAGAGGCTACGGGAATTTCATCTAGATTTAGAGGCGTGTGTATGTACGTGTAAAGCAGCGAGGATCGTATATACAGACTGTGTCATAAGGTCTAGGAGACCTTACAAGACAAGCCGTAAAATCTTTCATTATATTGGATTGTGAAAGTTTGTGTCGCAATAAACGTTGTTAGGAAGGCAAAAGGAAAAAAAAAAACAAGAAGGCATGTTGATTGTTATTTTACATGTTACGGGAAATTTTCTCCGTTTCTTATTTTCATTATATAGCCCTGATGACGGTGGAGTAGCGATTCTTCGAGTTCGTTTTACAACGCTGTTTTGTACACTATTTTGCAACGTAAGTTTACTTTCAGAAAACTTTTACTTACTTTAGAGTTGTCGTCTGAACAATACTTAGGTTTTCTTGCGTTTTTCCAGAAAAGTTATTAGTCTATTGTTTATGTATAGTATAATGCACAAAAATATATAAAACGTCTATTTTAATTCCATTTATATTATCCATATTATCTATATTCAATATTTTGTCAATTTCATTGTATGAAATGGAATTATATTAAAATAAATAATAAGTAATTGTAAACGATGTTTTTCTAACGTATTCATGCTGATGAAAATTGTTTTACTATTAGACTGTGAATAATAATAAATAGAATTTAAATTGCTTTCTACCTGTTAAATATTATAACGAGTACTACATTTTATATATTTTTGCATATTACGTATACTTTGTAATTTCTCATAAAATCTAGTCATTAGTATTTCGTTCTCTCAATTTTTCTGTAATCTACTTATTAGTGTTTATGTACTTATGAGAAATTTTAATTTAATGTACCAGAATATTATAGAAAGCAATAGAAACATATGAGATATTCGTTATAGTAATTAAAACTTTGTTTATGGGAATAGGAATTTTTAAAACATTCGTAATTGCACAATTAGATATATAAATTAATAAGAAAGAATTCATAATGAGATTTATAATTAAATATATAAATTCTTCAGGTTTCCATTTTGAAATCTACAACATAAACAAGAAATAATCGCTGTTATCAGTGTACACTTCCTGGATCATAGAAAATTCAGAAAGTTTGAAGGTTAATCGAGAAAAGAGAAATTATGAATTCTACAAAATTTTTAAATTTATTATTCTTTTGTGACAATCTTGATACCTGAAAAAAATATTACCAAAATATTCTGCAGGAAGAAAGTCAATTCCTTTCAATTCCAATCACATTCGAGTTTCCAATGAATTTTTAATTTCAATTTCGTAAAATGAAAATTATTATATATAAAAAGTGATTATATAAAAGTTATAGGGAAAAGGAAAAATAGTGTGGAAATCTAATGAGGTAGTGAATTGGAAAAAGTTAAAGTGCCTTACCTTCTGCGTTATGATAGTAAATAAAAGTAATATTCATTGCCCATACATGTATAAATTATCCAAATTGCTTTTTCCTGTTATAAATTTGCGATACAAAATGTGTTATACACATTGTGTACAGTAATAAACAGCTACCTTTAAATATATTTCAGAACAATGTAACAAATTTTACAGAAAACAATAGATATTTTCTTGTTATAGTTGTCGATTTTTTGATTATTGGTGATTATAATTTAAAATAAAATATATAAGGAATTAATTATTGTAGAATCTTGAATCTTTCAAACTATTTTCTATACATATGTATTTGGAGTATTTAGTAATGAGTATTGAAATTTTAAGAGATTAAATTTTTAATAATTCTGTCATACAAAGTTAATTTAATTTCCTCATGACACGTTATTTAATTTTGTACAAATACATTTTATTCCGTATTTTACGAAACGAAGATCACATCAGTAATACTTACATAATTAAAATTAAATTTACTTTAAGATGAAATTTTCTAACTTAAATCTAATCGATTAATAATCGATTAATTAAGAGTTAATTTGAAATGTAAAATAAAACTCCAAATAATGCTCAATACATTTATACAAAATACACATAATTTGCTTGATATACTTTTCTCTTTGTATACAAAGCATAAGATAAAATTAAATCACAATATAAATATATAGGGAACCATTTGTCTGTTTCCAAATATTTGGAAAAGCTAAAATAAATGTTATCGTGAGAATTGATATTTCGAGGAAGTTCAAGGTTGAAGAAAACAATCACACTAAATTGATCGGAAATTGATTCCGGAAGAATGTCTAAAGATAATGTAAGATAATATAGTGCAATCTTTTCTCCGTCCTCTGTTTCGTTCACCTATCGATAGTATACAGTCACAACACACTATCATGGTGATTTCACAAAGAATCATAAAACTTCTTCCTTCATGGCTTCTCGCTAACCGTGTATTCCAGAGCTTTTCTCATAACGAGATTTCGATTCTTGCCAATTTCCTGCATCTTGCTGGCAGTATAAGCTTGTGCCAGTGAACGATACCCGTGAAAGAGTTCGGTGCGATTCTCGACGTTTGCTACAATCTCGTCGAACCCATCAAGAAACGAATCTCCTTGGCATCGTGAACTTTCTCAAGAA